TCAACTGATAGTATGTATGAACATCCTCTACACGCAGCCCAGCTAGAGGCAAGGATTTGGGTTGAAGATGGGCCCGACTCCAACCAACACAAAAACACACAAACACCCTGGAAGTAACTTGAGCCCATGTTTCTCGCCAATGCAACAGTAGTGTGTTCAGTTTTTGAATGATAGGATTTGTAAAACTAAAAAATTTATTCAATGAGCAAGTCAAGTCTTCTTTCTACAGTAAAATTTACGAGATATAAGTAATAAACAACTAACCGTACATTAGTATAAATTTGTAATTCAGAAGACTGATCGACTTTTATTATTGTAAAACATTTCACATTACTCATCGTAAGTTGAAAAGACACTACTATGTACATTACAAGAGGAGAAGAGTTAAGTTTGAATCTGAGTTGTAGTCATCATAAAGGAATAAGAATTGGATTGCCCTTCACTCTATCAAAACTTCTTTTTTTTTTTTTTTNAAACCAATTACGACCCAAATAAATTATCGATTTGAGTTTGGAAAACTGGAGAGAAATCATTAAATGTCAATTGAGTTGGTTGAACCAAACTCTGGAGTACTTCTTTGAACATGTCAATAATGTCTTCTTGCTTCAACTGATAGTATGTATGAACATCCTCTACACGCAGCCCAGCTAGAGGCAAGGATTTGGGTTGAAGATGGGCCCGGCTCCAACCAACACAAAAACACACAAACACCCTGGAAGTAACTTGAGCCCATGTTTCTCGCCAATGCAACAGTAGTGTGTTCAGTTTTTGAATGATAGAATTTGTAAAACTAAAAAATTTATTCAATGAGCAAGTCAAGTCTTCTTTCTACAGTAAAATTTACGAGATATAAGTAATAAACAACTAACCGTACATTAGTATAAATTTGTAATTCAGAAGACTGATCGACTTTTATTATTGTAAAACATTTCACATTACTCATCGTAAGTTGAAAAGACACTACTATGTACATTACAAGAGGAGAAGAGTTAAGTTTGAATCTGAGTTGTAGTCATCATAAAGGAATAAGAATTGGATTGCCCTTCACTCTATCAAAACTTCTTTTTTTTTTTTTTTTGATATATACTTTTGTACCAGTTATAGACAAGCATGAATGAGTCGAACCATGGCAACAACTCAATTGTATTTTCATATCCTTGGCATGGCATGTGAAAAGAGTAAACTAAAGTTGGGCATAACATGGGACAGATTGGACAATGTAAGATCCAGACCAACATTCAACTCTCTCTTTATAAACTTGTAGCATTATTTCAAGCTCACGCCACTTCATCTTGGGACACGTGTACGGTCTACCAGCAAGCCTCTGACCAAATCAAGAACCTCATTACAACATATCCAAAAAAAAAAAGAAAAAGAAAATGAACTAATTATAATATAAAGGTAATTTCAGTTGAATACAAAAAGAAGAGGGAACCCANAAAGGAACTAATTATAATATAAAGGTAATTTCAGTTGAATACAAAAAGAAGAGGGAACCCATTGCTCGTCTGCTGTTCTTTTTGTGACACCCCAAAGTCCGGGTGTCTGTAATTATCCGATTGGTTATCCATCGACCTGTGTAATACTGGTGGATATCGTGTAATTTGATACCACACCGTTATGCCCCATTTCTTGGGATCCATAACTTAACAAAATTTGGACAGAGTCTCCTTTGTACAAGAAGCTCTACTCAAAACACAACCTGTACAACATTGACCACACCGGATCTATCTATCTATTCACAATTGTATAGTCTCGAATACTACCATAATCATTATCAGTACATACATTTATTCGTAAAAGAATAAATGTCCCAAAAGAGTCCCATATACATGCCTTTGTAAATATAAACAATGTTTGTTACAGAAATTATACAAGGCCAAAAGTAAGTATAAACAAGAGACTACAATGTCAAAATAAAAGCCACAGACCGGCTCTGTCGTCAAAGCGGGCCCATGGCCTCGCCTTCGGTGGAAGCCTGTGCGATACCTGAAAAATGTTCCCATAAAGGGTGAGCTAACGCTCAATAGGGTAACTCCTATAGAGAATACCTCTCAACCTAAATGAATATGGAATGTCACATGCAACAATCATTTGATACATTCATTTAAATATGTCTATTATGATTGAATGTTATAGGTCATGTCATGCCATGAGATGAGACTCACGCAAGCAATACCAACCCCGAGCCCCATCCTGAGCTCCCATAACACATGCAATGTCATGCGTATGTATCCGAGCATTCCAAGCCCCCATCATTGGTGTTATGTACACTCAATGCTAATTAATTCATTTTCTTGTGTCTTTGTGGGGAGATGATTTATGGTATTACACCAATGGGACACCAACCATCAACGGATCTTCAGGACATCCCACCTGCGGCTCCGTTTCCGCCGTTACACTTTTTTGGAATTTCACCGCCGGAAAGTGTATAAACCAAGTAAGCGGGTCTTGCACCCGAGGGAGAATCTAGCCCTTCGTGCTGTCCCCAACACATTTATCCATTTAATTTCTCGTGCGACTCAACCGAACCTTGGTGCGACTTTTCCGAGTCCACGTTCAACCACCTACGTGGTGATTGATTTCATACCATGCATACACTCTCACCCATGTCAATGCCCATGAATGTAGTGCAACCCATGCATAATGAAATACAATGTAATGACATTTTAACACGATCTCAAGCATGTTATGTAAGATAATCAACTCAACTAACATACTTGTATTCACCTAGGCATTTAATCAAACACCTAAAGAGCACATCAATTTACACAACTAGCATGCTATGACTTACAACATGATAACATGTTTAACATAAGCACAAGTCCACCAAAATAATCATATGTTAAATAATCATTTAACATATATATATTATTTCACAATCATATAACAAGTTAATAATTTTATTAAACTTGATCTTCCATTAAAATATAAAGTAATGCTAACATACAATTAACATGCTTTAAACTACTAACATTAACTTATACCAAGTTAATCACAATAGAATTTTATTAATCACAAGATTAATTATAAATTCTATATTTGACCCACTAATCAAGACCTAACATGTGATATACACTCATAATCTACTCATTCCATATGTCATATTTTAAGTTGAAATTAAATCTAAATAGGGGAAACCCTACCTCTCGTAGCGTGAGACCACTTACAAGAACGCCAAGGAAGCCCAAATTTAGCTTCCTAAGTTTTAGGTCTAGATTATCGGCTTTGATATACTTTCGAAGAAAAATACGATATTTGGTGTGGTTGCGTAGCTCTCGCTGAGTAGAGTAACTTTAGTTCTTGGCCCGAAGCGATTAAACGGTTAAATTTTCCTAGATCTGAGAAGGAAGAAAAGAGAAAAAAAATAAAAACTCATATTTTTTTTTTCACTCTCTCTGTGTCGCCGGCTGTAGAAAACACAAAAAGTGGAAGACAAAGTCTTCCACTTATATATATATATATTATTTTTTCTTAAATTTATGTTTTTGAACCATAATTTAACAATTAATTATTATTTTACCCCTTTTTATTAGAATTTTAATAATAATAATAATATATATATTTTTTTATCGGGTTTTACACTTTTTATAAAATACGCTTTCAATAAAATTTTATTAAAGGTATATTTTGGAAACAAATTTGTACGTTAAAAAGCGTTAATAAAACTAATAATAATTTGAAAAATAAGTTTGAAAGAGTATCATCATCAATGGATAAAAAATTCAATGAAGAGGGTTAGGTACTTTAGGTGTATGAATGGAAGTCAGCACATGCAAATGGGAGGGTGAAGCGTCAGCAATCACGGTCATTGGTCAACACCCCCTCTACTCTATTACAAAATCTTGATGATCACATGATATTCACCAGCCTATAAGGGTGTTCTCACGCTATTGGTTTCATTCTACTAAACTACACTCTTTCTTCTTCATTGGCCAACTCTATTGACGTCCTTAACATGACCTTTTGATCTTTCTCTCTCTCTCTCCAAAATATTTATCAGAACTCATTGTTTGTGAATCAGCTAGNGCAACGACAATCTTGATGATCGCATGATATTCACCAGCCTATAAGGGTGTTCTCACGCTATTGGTCTCATTCTACTAAACTACACTCTTTCTTCTTCATTGGCCAACTCCATTGACGTCCTTAACATGACCTTTTGATCTTTCTCTCTCTCTCTCCAAAATATTTATCAGAACTCATTGTTTGTGAATCAGCTAGATCTGATCACTCCGAGGGACAACCATGACTGATCAGAAGGTATTTGTAGATTTTGATGTTGCCTACAATCCTAGAGATGAATTTTGCTCTCTTCTTTNTCATATTTTTTTTTTTCACTCTCTCTGTGTCGCCGGCTGTAGAAAACACAAAAAGTGGAAGACAAAGTCTTCCACTTATATATATATATATTATTTTTTCTTAAATTTATGTTTTTGAACCATAATTTAACAATTAATTATTATTTTACCCCTTTTTATTAGAATTTTAATAATAATAATAATATATATATTTTTTTATCGGGTTTTACACTTTTTATAAAATACGCTTTCAATAAAATTTTATTAAAGGTATATTTTGGAAACAAATTTGTACGTTAAAAAGCGTTAATAAAACTAATAATAATTTGAAAAATAAGTTTGAAAGAGTATCATCATCAATGGATAAAAAATTCAATGAAGAGGGTTAGGTACTTTAGGTGTATGAATGGAAGTCAGCACATGCAAATGGGAGGGTGAAGCGTCAGCAATCACGGTCATTGGTCAACACCCCCTCTACTCTATTACAAAATCTTGATGATCGCATGATATTCACCAGCCTATAAGGGTGTTCTCACGCTATTGGTTTCATTCTACTAAACTACACTCTTTCTTCTTCATTGGCCAACTCTATTGACGTCCTTAACATGACCTTTTGATCTTTCTCTCTCTCTCTCCAAAATATTTATCAGAACTCATTGTTTGTGAATCAGCTAGATCTGATCACTCCGAGGGACAACCATGACTGATCAGAAGGTATTTGTAGATTTTGATGTTGCCTACAATCCTAGAGATGAATTTTGCTCTCTTCTTTGTGTTTTTTGTTTTTATCTGGTTTGGGTTTGTAATCTTGTTCATTATGAATTTCCTCAAATTTTCATACTAGAGCTTAAGAATTATTATTTTTTTACACAGAATTCTCTTTCTGCAAACAGTTTTCTTGGATTGCTTTTCTTCTACTACACCTTCTACATTTTGATGTAACAGGTGGCAACAATGGTGCTGATGGNATGAATTTCCTCAAATTTTCATACTAGAGCTTAAGAATTATTATTTTTTTGTCAGCAAAACACAGAATTCTCTTTCTGCAAACAGTTTTCTTGGATTGCTTTTCTTCTACTACACCTTCTACATTTTGATGTAACAGGTGGCAACAATGGTGCTGATGGTTGATCTCCAGTGCCCTCACTGCTACAAGAAGATCAAGAAAGTTCTTTGCAAATTTCCTGGTCAGTCTCTTCTACCTTTCATCTTTTTTTTTTTTTTTACATGCAAATAAATTATATTTACACCTATACATACACGTACAAGATGTCTATTGGCGGAGCCATACTATGGCCCTTTTTTTGGAAATTTTATTTTTCACCCATTGTTTTTCTTCCGATTTGTAAAAGAGTGGGATTATTCTCGCCCTTTAAATCTCCTTTTCCACCCTCGTATAATTCTCTTACTTCAAACTACTAAGTTCATCTCATCTATACCTATCACATTAGTTATTAAATCCACATAATCTATATTCACTAATTAAAAATTAAATTCATTTAATTTTATTTCAACCTGTTATATAGTCAATGATCAAAATTTTATTTCAGTGGATTATTTCGGTACAAAAATATTTCAAAAGTAGAATAAAAATTAATAATTATTTTTAAAATATTAGTTAACAAATCTTAAAACATCTAAAAATATATCAAATATATTAGTGAAAATATATCAAAATATCTTAAAACACCTCAAAATATTCCAAAGACATTGGTAAAAATATATCAAAATATCTCAAAACACCTCGAAATAATATAGATCACCTCATAACATTGAAATTTCGCTTCAATTACTATTTTTGTTTCGATTTNCACCTCGAAATAATACAGATCACCTCATAACATTGAAATTTCGCTTCAATTACTATTTTTGTTTCGATTTCTTTGACATATATTTAACAGTTTAATTGAATGGATATAAATAGAGTGAACTTAGTAATTAATGAATGAACTTAATAGTTTGAAGTAAAATGATTAAAGGAGGCAAAAAATGAGATTTAAGGGATGAGAATAACCTCATCTTTTGTAAAAAGTTATTAAGTTAGGTACAACATAAAAATATGAGATAATCTCACTTTGGACCGCAAAAGATACTTCGATTATTAATTTGTACTTTCATATACTAAAAATCTCAATTTGCACCTGATAAAAATGTGAACTTCGTCTAAACTGTTGTTTAGTTTTTCTTTATAAATTGAAGCACGTGAATTACAATTGCTTCAGACATTAGTTTATGTGTAAATTTATAGATTTTTGACGCCTCATATGACTTGCACATGATAGATTAGTCTCTATCTAATTAAGTAAATCTTATTTTAATACGCAAATTAGTATCAAATTAATCATAGAAAAATATTTGTAGTGATGGACATATTTCATCTTCATGTCGGAAGCATTTGCAAAGTGAGATTAGCCTTAAAACATATTTATACATTTGATTTGGCCTACCTGTTTCAATATTTTTGACTCTACCACTGTAACTATACGTTTGTTTTATCATTTCATGAATAATGCTTTTTAGTGTTGGAATATAACTGAGTTATTTTGGTGATGTTATTGTTTTTGGGACAAGAGAAATCAGAGACCAGGTATNGTTTGTTTTATCATTTCATGAATAATGCTTTTAAGTGTTGGAATATAATTGAGTTATTTTGGTGATGTTATTGTTTTTGGGACAAGAGAAATCAGAGACCAGGTATATGATGACAAGCAAAACACGGTGACAATCACCGTAGTTTGCTGCAATCCGGAGAAGATTCGTGACAAATTGTGCTGCAAGGGTGGGAAGACCATTCAGAGTATTGATATCAAACCGCCACCAAAGCCCAAGGAGCCCGAGAAGCCCAAAAAGCCCAAATCTGATGGAAAAGGTGAGAAACCTCCTGAAAAACAAGCAGACAAGCCCAAAGAAGNTTGCAAGGGTGGGAAGACCATTCAGAGTATTGATATCAAACCGCCACCAAAGCCCAAGGAGCCCGAGAAGCCCAAAAAGCCCGAATCTGATGGAAAAGGTGAGAAACCTCCTGAAAAACAAGCAGACAAGCCCAAAGAAGTCCCCAAATCTGACCCACCAAAAGCAAATCCTCCAACTCCCAACCCACCACCACTTGAGCCTGTGATGGTGCCTGAACCTGTGTGTGGCTACCCACCTATTTATCCAGGTGGAGTATGTTGTGGGTCTTGTTATGAAGGTCGTATTGGGGGCCCATGTTATCACGGCTACGGAAGGCCCCCACCCCCACCACCATGTTTTGACAATTATGGTTATGGGCATTATGACTATGGAAGGGGTTGCTATGTGAGAAACGATTATTTTAGTGAAGAAAATCCCTCAGCATGCACAATCATGTAGGACCACGATCAAGCTCTTGTATCTTTTTGTTGAAATTTCCAGTCAGTTTGGGAAATATGTGATGTTATGATTTTTTTATCAATAAAAGTTTCTTGTAATAGTTTTTAATTTGAAAAATTTGTGGCTGGTTGATTTTCTGTTTTCTTTTCTGAGAACTTCTCCTTCTGTGTCATTTTATATTTGTATGGATGAATGATTAACCATAACTTGATCCATTTGATTTAACTTGTCAAATGCCTTAACCGTTAACACTAATTCAATTTATTTATTAATCATGTCGTTTTTGAATTAACACAGATAACCCTATAATTAAAATTTACGAGTATGCTTTTTTAACCACATGTAGGCACTATGTAATCAAATATTCACTTGATCTTTGTGGTGTCAAACTTGAGCAAAAAATTCCGTTAATGCTACAAAAACTCATACAATACATGATGAAGACATGAAATAATCAAATATTTTTGGGTGAATTACTTTGTTGGCCCTCGAACTATTCACTGTATGTCAATTAAGCCCAGAACTACATTTTTTTTTTCAATTTATCCGTCCAACTATTGAAATCGATGCAATCAAACGCTTCCATCTATATTCTGTTAAAACAACAAACATACCTCATGGTGTGTTGTTCACGAGACCGAATGGTAAGGGGTATTTAGCACAAAACAATGGTCTAAGGCTTGGAGAGTCACCGTCTTCATCACTTTCTCAAATTTGGAGCTCCAAATTTGTTTTGCAACACACTTCATGATTGAATTCCAAAGTAGCCATATGATAACTAATCAAACACCCATGACCAACCACAACCACAACCACCTCTCTCTTGATGTATTCCTTCTACTGCAGAGCATATATGGACATCTATAGCTCGGAAGGAAAATTAGCACCCAAAAATTTGTTGTTTCCTTCCTTTGCCGTCTTTTCTAGTCACGTGAACAACACACTGTGAGATCAATTTATTTGTTTTGACGGAACGTCGACGGAAGGGCCTGATTGCATCAATTTCAGTAGTTGGAGGCTTAAATTGAAAGAAATTATAGTTCAGACGCTTAATTGACACAAAACAAATAATTCGAGGGCTAACCGTGTAATTCACCCAATATTTTTGTATAAAGTATTAATTAAATGAGCTTGTTGTATCAAAATTAAGTTATTTAGGTTTGATATTAACCTAACTTATTTACTATTTAGATTTTTGTCGCAAAATTCTCTATCCTATTCTATTAATTTTATAACTTGGACTTTTAATACATAAGTCCTATTTGGAATGTGGGTTTGAATTGGATAAAGGGGCCGAATTAAGTGTAATAGTACAATGGGTTCCTTACCTTGCTTGATGGAGTTCTTAACATAGATTAGGATAAAAGATCTCATGAATACAATTCAATACTATCCCATTCCACCATCCAATCGTCACCATAGATCCCTGATCGGTCAAAGCGCTGTGCAAACTCACTAGCACCCTTGATTATGATGAATTTCTCGTGGCACCTCTTTCAATTACCCCATGCTTAGAGTTGTAATTGCACCTGCTATTTCAAGAAGGAAAACAGTATGAAACTCCAAGAAATGAAAACAAGTTGACCGTGACTTAGTTATCCTCATCAATGCTCAAAGCTGCTGCTAAGAAAAGGTTATGATGGTAAACCGAACTTTGCTATACACTTAATCTTGATAAGGCCTCAATACACTCGAAGATACACGCANATCAATGCTCAAAGCTGCTGCTAAGAAAAGGTTATGATGGTAAACTGAACTTTGCTATACACTTAATCTTGATAAGGCCTCAATACACTCGAAGATACACGCACACAAACGCATACACAGAAATGGCTTACAATATCTGTTCTTCATCGTCTTCCCTGTCTCATGACCCCCATCTCTTCTTCAGCTCTTTTTCTCCTCCACTAGCTCTCCAATTCGCTCTGTTCCAACCTACACCAAGACTCAAACAATCTAATCATTCCATCACATTAAAACCCTCTCTTCAACTCACCCAAGTTTCTTCTCAAATTCCAGTTTCAGAAAGGACCCACCCCCCAAATCCACCAAATTCACAATCCCTAGATGAAAAGGCCAATTCTTCATCTAAAAGCTACATCTGGGTCAATCCCAAAAGCCCCAGAGCTTCACAGCTTCGCCGACATTCTTACAATGCCAGGTACGCTTCATTATCGAAAATTGCCAAGTCGTTGGATTCTTGTAACCCAGTAGAAGAAGATGTTTTTGATATATTGGCTAGTTTGGGTGACAAAATCGTTGAACAAGACGCTGTAATTGTCCTTAATAACATGTCAAACGCCGACACAGCTGCAATTGCCCTCAAGCACTTTCAGCAGAGATTTGAGTTGAATAAAGAGACGATTCTTTATAATGTGACTTTGAAAGTGTTTAGGAAATGTCGAGATTTAGATAGAGCGGAGAAACTGTTTGATGAAATGCTTGAGAGAGGGGTTAAGCCAGATAATGTTACGTTTTCGACCATTATTAGTTGTGCTAGGTTGTGTTCTTTGCCCAAAAAGGCTATTGAGTGGTTTGAAAAAATGCCCTCATTCGGGTGTAAACCGGATGATGTTACATATTCGGTCATGATCGATGCTTATGGAAGGGCTGGTAATGTAGATATGTCATTGAGCTTGTATGACCGTGCAAGAACTGAAAAATGGCGCATTGATGCCGCAACATTCTCTACACTGATTAGAATTTACGGGACATCGGGAAATTTTGATGGGTGCTTAAATCTGTACGAGGAAATGAAGGCCCTCGGTGTTAAACCTAATTTGGTTGTGTATAATTCTTTGCTGGATGCTATGGGGAGAGCCAAGAGGACTTGGCAGGCAAAAAGTATCTACAGGGAGATGATGAACAATGGGTTCGAGCCAAGTTGGGCAACCTATGCTGCGCTCCTTCGTGCATATGCTAGGGCTCGCTATGGTGAAGATGCGTTGAATGTGTATAGAGAGATGAAAGAAAAAGGCATGGAGTTGAATGTTGGTCTTTACAATACCATATTAGCTATGTGTGCTGATGTAGGCTTTACAGATGAAGGTGTTGAGATCTTTGAGGATATGAAGAATTCTGAGAATTCCCAGCCTGACAGCTGGACATTTTCTTCATTGATAACGATATATTCATGCAGTGGGAAAGTCTCGGAAGCAGAGGCTACATTGAATGGGATGTTGGAAGCAGGTTTTGAGCCTAATATCTTTGTCCTGACCTCACTTATCCAATGCTACGGGAAAGCCAATCGCACTGATGATGTTGTCAGGACATTTGATCGACTCCTAGCACTAGGAATAACTCCGGATGAGCGGTTTTGTGGTTGTCTTCTTAATGTGATGACTCAAACGCCGAAGGAGGATCTTGATAAGCTGACCATATGTATTGACAAGGCTAATTCAAAGCTTGGTTATGTTGTGAACCTCCTGTTGGATGAGGAAAGCATTGAAGAAGGTATCTTTAAGAAGGAAGCTCGTGAACTCTTTGATGCTATTGGTTCCGATGTTAGAAAAGCATACTGTAACTGCTTGATTGATCTCTGTGTCAACCTGAATCTCTTGGAGAAAGCTTGTGAGTTGTTAGACCTGGGGCTTACTCTTGAGATTTACACTGATATACAGTCAAAATCTCCAATACAATGGTCTTTACATTTGAAGAGCCTCTCACTTGGGGCAGCTCTCACAGCATTACATGTCTGGATGAATGACTTGTACAGAGTTCTCGAAAGTGGGGAGGAGCTTCCATCATTGCTTGGGATCAACACTGGTCATGGGAAGCATAAGTATTCCGACAAAGGTTTGGCAGGTGTGTTTGAATCGCATCTGAAGGAACTGAATGCTCCATTCCATGAGGCTCCAGACAAGGTTGGCTGGTTTTTGACAACAAAGGTTGCAGCGAAGTCATGGTTAGAGTCTAGACATTCCCATGACGTAGTTGCTGCTTAGATCTATGTCTATATGGGTTAGTCTTCTGCTAATAATGCTTGCTTGATATTGACAGGATCCTTGTATTGTTTGAGACTTTTAATATGATTCTTCTATCCTGTCATTTTTCACTAAATATTGCTCTCATGAGAGAGAAATTTTTTGTTCTATTAACTGGGAAAAGGCTATTTATGCTTGGATGTTCTGTTTTTTTGGAGATTTTACTTGATTGAACTATGAAGGTCATGAATTTCTAAGAATTCTTGTCCTTTTAACTGCACCTGTGATTGCCTTGATTGTATCTTGTGAAAGAGGCCACTATTGGAGTAGTCACTTGGATCTGTGCCGTAGTGATGATCAACAATTAGTCGTTGTTAGTGAAAAACTCGGTCACTTGAAAATACTGTGCCCTAAATAAGAAGCCCTAGTGTAGTTTTAAGAATTGATTACGATCCTCGAAATGTAAAAAGTGGTGGGGAAACTGCTAAAACATAATCTGTTTCAATAAGACGGGCTTCATCACCTGCTAGGATTTGAGTTGATGCATTGTATTATATTTTGATTTTCTGCTCCGGAGGTACATTTCAAGTAATCAGTTGGCATCGTTGGAATTATATTTAGATAAACTTCTTAGTAGGGAAAAGAAGAATTTAATCATCATGGCACAAAGAAAATACATATTAGTGGGACATAATATCTAGAAAATAAATGAAGACCGCTATTAATTATGAAAGATCTTCATGGTTAACTTGTGGTTACTAAAGTCTGTCAAAATTTGATTAGTAATGTTTTGAAATTAGGTACCATCTGATCTATAGGTTTTGTATAAATGATTAGCCTAAAATACATCTCTTGCATTAATTGAAACATTGGTTGACATGAGGAGGACTTAATAAGGGAGTTCATACATCCTTACAATTTTAATTTTGTGCAAGAGAAGTCATGATTCTAATTTTGTGCAAGAGGAGTCATGATTCTAATTTTGTGCAAGAGAAGTCATGATTGGAGAGAAAAGAGAACTCATTACTGGTTCACCAATCCCCATCCATGATTCTAATTTTGTGCAGGTCCAAGTGCACCACCTTGTTTCAAGCATTCCTCCACCAGAATGGACACCAGCCAACATCCCCCCACCCCAAAATAAATAGACAAATAGATGATTAATTGGCAAACTTAAGATAACAGATTAAATTTGCAACATGTTTGACTCTGGTTTAGTTTAATAAGAAGTTGACTTTCGACCTCTCATGTGTAGTTGGGTTGCATGTAAATAAATAAATGATGCATACCGCTTTGTCTTTGTGTGGAATAGTAATATCTAAACGCAAGAGTCAACCACAGTGAGTGCCTTGTATTATAAGACCCGGCTTCTGAAGATTAAACACTTGTGATATGCAGACCATACAATGATCCATCTCAGAGAAACAGTAACCAAAAGCCGTCCTAAATATTTAAAGTTACTTTGAAGCATATAAAAAACACAACTCTATATTTCTTTTCTGTAGAGAGTGGAGAAACTAATAAACAACCAGTAAGGTGGCCTGCACGTTAAGCTGTCCCAGGCCTGAAACCAACATAAGCACCACTATGTATATTTATAGGAGCACAGAACTATGAACTACCAGTCCTCTGTTCTGTGATTCGTTTACCATGGGGAACTGCATACTTCTACCATTTTCTCCACCTAAGAAGAAAACTAGAGTTCTAATCTCTGATGGAGAAGAAGAGTTCATAGCCTCCACAAATGTTCAAAAGATCGCTGCAGGTCCTTACCAGGGCTATTCGATGGTACACCACGCGCAGCCTTACTTACCATTGCCACCCAAGACCAAACTAAAATCTGAAGAGGTTTACTATCTCATCCCATGCTCAAGACAGCATTGTAGCCCTCCGGCATCTGACAAAATGGTTAAAGATAGTAGTTTCAATGGCCGAAAAGTAAGGATTGTTGTGACTAGGAAGCAATTGGAGTTGCTGGTGAGAAGTGCAAAGGGGTTCCATCCTAGACACTTCGAATTTCAATCTTTTAGGGCAAGAGAAAGGCATCAGAAATGGCAGCCATCGCTAGCTACCATTCAAGAGTAGTTGTTGAATTGATGCAGCAATAAGTTCTTTTTGCTATTTTTCTTCTCTGGATGCAAACCCAGTTTTTTGATAGAATCTTTAAATGCATAGAAAATGGCTGAGAGTATGCAAAGTGAGAGATGGAGAGATGCTTATGTTCTCTCACATAGTGAAATGTAGTCCTGCTGCTCCTGGAGGAGCAGAAATATTTATAATACGATTACGGTTTAATGTAAAGGTCTCCCTGTACCTCATTGAATTACTTGATCATTTCAATTGGCTAAGGAAAACTTCATGGGTCAAATTTTTCCTCAGGAAATGATTTCTCCCTAAAAAGTTTAGGAAGGCAGAGGCATGCTTGGCTTGCTTTAGACATTAGACATGCTCCATTAAGCTGTTTGGATGACGAATTTCACAAAGCAGAAGTCATGTAGAAACTGAGATAGGATAATATTTTGGACTTATACAGGATAAACATTGCTCTAATTTCAGGATTTTGTTTCCCATTTTTTCACCATGTTCAAGTAGAATGCCTTCAGCTTGAGAATTCCATTTTAACTTTCTTTTGGCATTATTTAGTCATATCATTATGGTTTTTTTTTTACAATGTTTATCTTCCCGGTTTCCCTCGTTGTATACAACAATTTGCAAGCTATTTCGCGTGTTACATGTCTTCCTTCACCTTGAACTACACTAATTCCCATGTATTACACTGCACCAATTTGTTACTTGACAAACAGATCCAGCGGTTTTTTCAGAAAATACCAATATTAGACTTTTCTAGTGTATATTACCCATGTCAACCAAAAGCAGAGGATTAATATGATAGACGACATCATCCAGAATATGACAAAGTTAGTATCTCCATGACTCAGAAGAAACTAAAACATTATTTCTACTATCAAGCATCACTCAAATGTATATTTACTGTGCATAAATCACATGACATGGTTGATGAACCAACTGATTTTCCAGGTCGACTTCAACTTTACCCGACAATTTACCTTCAAGATGCTCTGGTGATCCTAAAAGAATAGCAAACAGTTAAGAAATGGCATTAAAATGTTCATTCCAATATATGGAGCCTCAGTTTAACATGTAAAATTAAATCAAAATCCATATTAATGCTGAATAATAAAGGAAACAAAGATAAAAGCATAAGGTTGACATGAAGGAGTATGGTAAAGATGGAAGAAGTATAAACCTCTTAGAGGAGTTTGTGTTTCTGATCTTTTTGCCATCACCAACCTTAGCTGATGGTGAATCTTTTTCTCGTGTTGCTGCTTCTCTCTTAGTTTTCTTAGACTCTACTTCAATGGCTTTTGATAGTGTCTCAATCTTCTTCGTAAGTATCTGTCAAAGAATTAAACATCTTTGTCTAATATCTAGCAAAGACATATATGGAGAGAGAGAGAGAGAGAGAGAGAGAGAGAGAGAGAGAGAGAGAGACTTCACCTTGATTTCTTCATCTTTAGTATTCAAAGTAGTGTTTTTCACCTCACAAGACTTCCTTAAACTGATAACCTCTTTTTGGAGCTTGTCATACAGAAACCCTGAAACCATGTCATGAATATCAGAGTTGACACTTCCCATATTTTCTGACCCTTCATTGCCGCTGCCTTTGATTTTGACATCTCCTGAAACTGAGTTTTCATTGTCATCATACGTATCAGCATTCACAGTAGTATTTCCTTTAATCTCAGTATTTTCCTTTTCATCACTTTTGGCGACCTTACTTTTAGATGCCCATAAATTTTTCCTTAAAAAATTTTGCCCAGAAACATATTTCTTTTCAAAGGTATTTATTTGTCTCAATTCTCCAACATCAATGACGGTTCCATTGTCTACATTTGGTGGTGATGAACTTCTACTGATGGTGGATGCCCTTGGCTGCGATGTAGATCTCTTCCTCAGTCCAGCATTACTCGATAAGATCCCAAAGAATTGATTAGCTTTTTCAATTTTCAGGTAATTAGGATTGCCCGAGAAACTAGACATGTGCTTTAAGCCTTCTTCCAATGTCTTTAGCCTCAACTTCAGTTTGTCCTATAGTGAAGATTAATTAGCATCTACGTTTTTCTGATTTATAAAAAAAAAAAAAAAAGAGAAAAAATATCATACAGTTTTCATGGAAGATGAGAAGCCAAATATTCACCTTGAGTTGTGCTTCTGCCTTAGCAGTTCTCTCGGATATTGCTAATTTGTCCCTTAATCGTTGCATCTCAGCCTATAAATGCAATTATGCAAAGAAACAATTGCAAATAAAACACAAAATTATTTAGCATACTCATCTGCAATTTCTCTTAATTATAATATGTTGGTTGTATGTGTGTAAAAACTTTGAACATTTTTTGAAATCTTTGATGTGGTAAGCAATCATAACCAAAAAAGGTCTCAGAGATATGGTTGCTTGCCTCTTGCTTCTTGCAAATGAAAACCTCCACCTATTTATAGGCATTTCGTCTTATCATGAATGAATATGATATTGTCAAATGTTATACATTTATAGTATCTCTAAAATCTTTTGTGCAAATATCTAGTTTTTAAATATGTATAACTCCTTATATTCCATATATATTCTAGAATATTCCTTAAAGAACGAAACCTTTTTCAGGATCCCCTAAAATATTATTTCAAATGGTCTTAAAATTAAAGAACTTGTCCTAAGGTTGTTTAGAATTTTTAAGAAAACAAGGCGTTCCATTTATAATTTTATATATTTTAATTTGCACTACATATAAGTCGTATTTCATAGATTTGTTTTGTATTTAGTCATATTTATATTGACCAGTTTATTTGATAAANATCCTAGGTTGTTTAGAATTTTTAAGAAAACAAGGCGTTCCATTTATAATTTTATATATTTTAATTTGCACTATATATAAGTCGTGTTTCATAGATTTGTTTTGTATTTAGTCATATTTATATTGACCAGTTTATTTGATAAACTAAGTTCATTTCTTTATTACTTGTATTTACTGAGACTAAACTCAATCCGTTTGTTTTTGTATCGAGTTTGCACTTGATAATAAAATTGTTTTAGCCCCAAATATATGTATTAAATTTAAGGGCCTGTGATGGTAAGGTGTGGAAATAAGATTTGGCTTAGGAATACCTGCAACAACTTTCTATCTTCTAGCCATTGCTTGATCGGCATAACTTTGTCATTCTCATCCTTCCACTCATTAGCCACCACTGTTGCAACACGATTCGCTGAAACTTTTACTCTTGCTAGTTCCCTTTCCAGTGTCCTTTTATCCTCCTTGAAATTTGTCCAAAATAGAGTTTAGTCAGTACAAATGGACCATTGAATCCAGCATTTCATTAGTCACAACCCCTAAACACATAGTCAATTTCTGTTCACTCGGTAGAAAAGCGAGTTTTACATGTAGTTCAGAAATCTGTCGCTGGCAGTCACGAACAGCATTTGCAGATACTCCACCAGCCAGAATGGCCTCCTCGAGTTCCTCAATGGTTTGGCTAAGCTTTTCAACCTCTAAAACCTTTTGACGATTGGTTTTATCTAAAATTCTATTCTCCTCCTGCATATAAAATTTGCCCAGATTTGGTGCATTACAACAAAATGAATATATACATGTGCATACAAAAGTTAGGCTAGAAATCGTACCAGGCAGATTTCAATCTGTCTTTTCAACTCAAAGTTCTGGTTTTGAACCTCCTCTACTATTAGTGCCCTTTCTAGTGCACTACCCAAAATCCTCTCTGCTTCAAGCAAAGCTGCTTCTTTTGACTTAGCTAGTCGTTCCGAAGCCTTTTTGTCCTCTTGAAGTGCTGCAATCTAAAAAAGTAAGAGAGAACAAATTACACACCCACAAGCACATTCACTCACACACATACACAGGCAGAGGAGTCACTGGGAGAATCAATGTGTCATATCCAGTTCATGGGTATACCTCATTTTTGTACATCTTAATCTCCGCTTCAAAAGGAGCAATGACAGACTCAATGGGAAGAGAATTGTCATCCTTTTGGTTTGCATACACCCTTCTAAGAGTTGATTCTGCAGCAAATTGTGCAGCCAATGCTGTTTTCTTATCATTTGCTAATTTCTTCACATCAAGACTCTACATCAATCAGATTCAGACAAGATAAGTAACTTTGGTTTACAACTAAACCCCCAACTATATATTGTCCTAGAAAATCATAAGGAACAGTGAACACCTTTTGCTCAAGAAGACTTTCAGTTACTCTGAGCTTCTCATCCAATCTTTTTGCTTCATTTCCAAGCTAGAAACAAACAAAAAACATGTAGCAGATATATAAGACAGCACGTTGTAAGTAAAGCAAATATTTATCCAACCAGCTAATTTTCAGCCCAACAGAATATATCCATATTTCGTTAATTGCGGAAAGAATATATACTGCACGTGATTGAGATATCACTTCGTCGAAGAGTATCCCTACGTCATATGTTTATCACACTGTGTTTGTGCTAAACCATAAATAACGATGCACAATTCTGTTAAATACCTCTTCTACTGCCTTATCCTTCAGAACTCCAGTTGCTCTCAATGCCTTGATTTCATTCTGAGCTGCACCCAACTCCCGATCCTTTTCTGGCATATAAGATTAAATGTAATGTAGAGAAATGTTCAACTCGTTAATATCTGTGACTGGATATGCACAAGAAGACAAGTATTATCAACATAATGATTTTCGCTTTACTTGAATATGGAAAATAATAATATATGGATCGAAAAACTACTTAGCGAATAGNCAGAACTCCAGTTGCTCTCAATGCCTTGATTTCATTCTGAGCTGCACCCAACTCCCGATCCTTTTCTGGCATATAAGATTAAACGTAATGTAGAGAAATGTTCAACTCGTTAATATCTGTGACTGGATATGCACAAGAAGACAAGTATTATCAACATAATGATTTTCGCTTTACTTGAATATGGAAAATAATAATATATGGATCGAAAAACTACTTAGCGAATAGTGATAAACCCAATGTAAACATTCTGTTCAGTAAAAATTTTCTTAGATGTGCTTTCTCAATTACATCAAAGTATTTAATCATGGGTACTTCTCAACTTTTTATCTTCTGTTGTGGCAATTATTCACACTTGAGAAGTAGCAAAGCATCTTTAAGGGTATCATGCATAAACACTACTCTCCTGGAAGGAAATGAAAACAGAATCTATAATAATCACTGAGACACTCATAGTGAATTCAAGGACTTAGAGTGGCCCTCCTCAATTACCAGCAAAAAAACAGCCTTCCTTATTAAATTGAAGCCAAAATAAAAGTAACCAGAGAACATTAAACTCCGAGGACTCGAGAGTTATTGCCTTAGTATTGAACTTCCTTATATACGATCAGAAGTCCATCATTGAACTCTTGGCTTGACATTATTTACAGAGACGGAGATTATCTATCGAAATCAACTATACACAACAAAAAATCACAAGTAAAAAATCTTATTCCTTAATTATATAAATAAGTAGTCAGTTATGCTGGTACACTGTTACACTTTTTTTCTAACACAAAGAGACCATCTAAAAGTTAATATGGCACCATGGTGCCCGACGGAAGTTTAAGGACTGCCTGAATTAATTATTACCACGAAAACATGGTTTTTTAGGGGACAACTTTGCCCAAAATTACTTGCCCCAAAAAAAAAAACATTGCCCAAAATTGTGAAATTAAGATGGTAAGTCCCCATAATTAGCCAATAAGATATAATTATTGTCTCTCACAGGATGGGATTGTGGACCAACATTATGAGGTCAATCTCTGGCCTAATATACTGCCTGGATGAACAAAATATGTAACAACCTTGACAACTGACACATTTGTTTAATTGTCTGTTCGAACCCTCTCGTCAAATTTGTCAGGTTAGCTCATGTCGTATTAGGTTAATTTTGAGTTTATATCAAAATCTCAAAACACAAACCTCACATGTTTAATAATCATGTCGAGATGTGTAAACACTAACTTGACCTAACTATTAAATAAGTTACCCGAATTTAATCTNATAACTTGACCTAGCTATTAAATAAGTTACCCGAATTTAATCTGTTTAATATGTTTAATAAACAAGTTATTTTTGAATTAACACATATAACATGACATGTTTAACCTGCTTAACACACTTACTTGTTTCCACACTTGTTTATTACTATTAATACATCATTTAATCATTCATCTAAAATTTTAAATAATTTTTTAACCAATAACATATCACATCTCGTCAATGAAATTAATTAAAATGCATTCAAGTGTCAACCTAAAAATTAAAGCAAGAACTATATTATTATAATGTCATAATAATGTTAAAAATTATACTGTCAATTGTCATAGTATAAATAATAATTAATAAATAATAATGTTAAGACCACATCAATCATATATAATAGACAAATTATACTGACATAAACAGGTTAAACGGGTCTATAATAGGTTAGGTCGGGTTCGTATCTGAATTATGTCAATCTGATTCAAATATACAGGTTAATCAGGTTAACCTAATTTTGACGTGAACTTGACATAATTTTTTTGGTGTTTAAACGTGTTAACCAATTNTCACATCAATCATATATAATAGGCAAATTATACTGACATAAATAGGTTAAACGGGTCTATAATAGGTTAGGTCGGGTTCGTATCTAAATTATGTCAAACTGTTTCAAATATACAGGTTAATCAGGTTAATCTAATTTTGACGTGAACTTGACATAATTTTTTTGGTGTTTAAACGTGTTAACCAATTTAATTTCGTGTNTAACTTTGGTTTGCAACTAAACCCCCAACTATATATTGTCCTAGAAAATCATAAGGAACAGTGAACACCTNATAAGTAACTTTGGTTTACAACTAAACCCCCAACTATATATTGTCCTAGAAAATCATAAGGAACAGTGAACACCTTTTGCTCAAGAAGACTTTCAGTTANTTTAATTTCGTGTCTAACCTATTAATTTCGCATTTGGTTCGCATTGTGTTAACATGTCATATCTAAAATTAACGACGAAAGAGTGAGGCAAAAAATTTAATCGTCTGNCTTTTGCTCAAGAAGACTTTCAGTTACTCTGAGCTTCTCATCCAATCTTTTTGCTTCATTTCCAAGCTAGAAACAAACAAAAAACATGTAGCAGATATATAAANCTAAAATTAACGACGAAAGAGTGAGGCAAAAAATTTAATCGTCTGTTGTTGAATATCTCGGCCGCTCGAGAAGTTGGACTAGCTTATGTCCATTGCATTACTGGGTTTGTTTCCTTTCTGGTTCAGTGCTGCAAAAATCAATCCGACCACCGAGAACAGAGCCGATATNAACGCAATGACAGCACGTTGTAAGTAAAGCAAATATTTATCCAACCAGCTAATTTTCAGCCCAACAGAATATATCCATATTTCGTTAATTGCGGAAAGAATATATTCTGCACGTGATTGAGATATCACTTCGTCGAAGAGTATCCCTACGTCATATGTTTATCACACTGTGTTTGTGCTAAACCATAAATAACGATGCACAATTCTGTTAAATACCTCTTCTACTGCCTTATCCTTCAGAACTCCAGTTGCTCTCAATGCCTTGATTTCATTCTGAGCTGCACCCAACTCCCGATCCTTTTCTGGCATATAAGATTAAACGTAATGTAGAGAAATGTTCAACTCGTTAATATCTGTGACTGGATATGCACAAGAAGACAAGTATTATCAACATAATGATTTTCGCTTTACTTGAATATGGAAAATAATAATATATGGATCGAAAAACTACTTAGCGAATAGTGATAAACCCAATGTAAACATTCTGTTCAGTAAAAATTTTCTTAGATGTGCTTTCTCAATTACATCAAAGTATTTAATCATGGGTACTTCTCAACTTTTTATCTTCTGTTGTGGCAATTATTCACACTTGAGAAGTAGCAAAGCATCTTTAAGGTTATCATGCATNGAAAATTAACGACGAAAGAGTGAGGCAAAAAATTTAATCGTCTGTTGTTGAATATCTCGCCCGCTCGAGAAGTTGGACTAGCTTATGTCCATTGCATTACTGGGTTTGTTTCCTTTCTGGTTCAGTGCTGCAAAAATCAATCCGACCACCGAGAACAGAGCCGATATTTTCAATCAGTTCATTCTAAAGACAGCCAAGAAAGTGAGCAACACCCTGTTCCTAACATTAGACCAAAGGGTTGCAATGCGATCATGGCACAAAAANACAGAATATATCCATATTTCGTTAATTGCGGAAAGAATATATTCTGCACGTGATTGAGATATCACTTCGTCGAAGAGTATCCCTACGTCATATGTTTATCACACTGTGTTTGTGCTAAACCATAAATAACGATGCACAATTCTGTTAAATACCTCTTCTACTGCCTTATCCTTCAGAACTCCAGTTGCTCTCAATGCCTTGATTTCATTCTGAGCTGCACCCAACTCCCGATCCTTTTCTGGCATATAAGATTAAACGTAATGTAGAGAAATGTTCAACTCGTTAATATCTGTGACTGGATATGCACAAGAAGACAAGTATTATCAACATAATGATTTTCGCTTTACTTGAATATGGAAAATAATAATATATGGATCGAAAAACTACTTAGCGAATAGTGATAAACCCAATGTAAACATTCTGTTCAGTAAAAATTTTCTTAGATGTGCTTTCTCAATTACATCAAAGTATTTAATCATGGGTACTTCTCAACTTTTTATCTTCTGTTGTGGCAATTATTCACACTTGAGAAGTAGCAAAGCATCTTTAAGGTTATCATGCATAAACACTACTCTCCTGGAAGGAAATGAAAACAGAATCTATAATAATCACTGAGACACTCATAGTGAATTCAAGGACTTAGAGTGGCCCTCCTCAATTACCAGCAAAAAAACAGCCTTCCTTATTAAATTGAAGCCAAAATAAAAGTAACCAGAGAACATTAAACTCCGAGGACTCGAGAGTTATTGCCTTAGTATTGAACTTCCTTATATACGATCAGAAGTCCATCATTGAACTCTTGGCTTGACATTATTTACAGAGACGGAGATTATCTATCGAAATCAACTATACACAACAAAAAATCACAAGTAAAAAATCTTATTCCTTAATTATATAAATAAGTAGCCAGTTATGCTGGTACACTGTTACACTTTTTTTCTAACACAAAGAGACCATCTAAAAGTTAATATGGCACCATGGTGCCCGACGGAAGTTGAAGGACTGCCTGAATTAATTATTACCACGAAAACATGGTTTTTTAGGGGACAACTTTGCCCAAAATTACTTGCCCCAAAAAAAAAAACATTGCCCAAAATTGTGAAATTAAGATGGTAAGTCCCCATAATTAGCCAATAAGATATAATTATTGTCTCTCACAGGATGGGATTGTGGACCAACATTATGAGGTCAATCTCTGGCCTAATATACTGCCTGGATGAACAAAATATGTAACAACCTTGACAACTGACACATTTGTTTAATTGTCTGTTCGAACCCTCTCGTCAAATTTGTCAGGTTAGCTCATGTCGTATTAGGTTAATTTTGAGTTTATATCAAAATCTCAAAACACAAACCTCACATGTTTAATAATCATGTCGAGATGTGTAAACAC